CGGCGGGCTGCGGAAGAGTAACTTCTTTCTCCTGAACTTTTCCTTTTTTTTTTTTCTTTCCTCCCCCGTAGGAAATACATACGACAGATCAATTATAGTTGACGGAGAAGAAGCATCTCTCGTGGTGTTTGATATATGGGAGCAGGTACGTACAGATTTTGGCTATTTTTTCTTTATGGCTGTGTCAGTGATTCACTCTTAAAAAAAAAAGTAGAAATGGAACAACTAGGTCTGCCTATTTCTTCGATCAGATCAGTAACATTAAAAAAGTGGCATTAAAAAAATCAGAATTCATACTGCCTTTGTTCTCTCCTGCAATTCATTTCTTGTAGCTAGGCAGGCAGTTTAAAAACCTGAATGGGGCTGGAGCGCGAATCCCTTAATGCTTTGAATAAGCAGCAGCTTACATGAGCAGCCCAGGGAATTACTGTAAAATTAGAGATTCACAATCTGATCAGTGCAGACCCAATATTATTTCTGGAAACATGGGAATTTTATTTTGTTAATATATTTTAAATAACAAAATCTTCTAAAAAAAAAAAAACAACTGGGAGGTTTGGCTTACTCTTACTGACTCTTTACAATAAAGCTAAGAAAAATATCTTTAAGCTGCTTACAATAATTAAATCATTAATCAGTGTTGAATAGCTTTTTCAGTGCAATAAATCTATTTCTTGCCTTTTGTTTTAGGATGACAGCCAATGGCTTCAGAACCACTGTATGAAAATGGGAGATGCCTATATTATTGTATATTCAGTGACAGACAAAGTTAGTTTTGAAAAGGCCTCTGAGCTAAGAATCCAGCTAAGAAGAGCAAGGCAAACAGAAGACATTCCTATTATTCTTGTGGGCAATAAAAGCGACCTGGTCAGGTCCCGGGAAGTCTCAGTTGATGGTAAGAGACACTATTCATTTATACACTAATGTCTAAATTAGTAGCAAAGGCTGTAGAGGATCACGGCCAATAGAAATGGTCTGGTTTTGATGTAGAAAAATGTATGATTCGAGGCACACTGGAGAAATCAAGCCAGCTGGTTTGTGCTCAGGGACTTGGTACCACAGAAAACAGTGGAGCTGGTGGTTGGGGAAGACTTCTGACTGTGCAGAGCAATGCTCTGAACTGCAGTACAAGAGAAAAAATAATCATCAGAGCTGCAGCTTTAGCATACTGTTTTGTGTAGGATTAATTTTTGGTCAGTATTAACTGAAAGGGTTTAACTGTATATTATGTGTGCAGCAGCGCTTGCTAGTCTCAAGATTTGATAGCTCAAACTATGCTTTTTAAGGGAGAGGAGTGCCTTGTCATAGAACGCAGGCAGCCTTTGAAAAGAGTGATCCCATACAGCCTGTACAATCCTCTTTCTTCTGAAAGTGATACCATCACATCTGAGTTGTGCTGGTGGGACCAGGCTCACACAACTTAAAGTCTTTTTGTATATGTCCTCCAGTTGTGATCAGTGGGAGTTTTCTCAGCTTGTTCCAGCTAGCATTTTGGTAACTAGAGCACAGCAACCACTGCCAACACCACAGTGTTAATTTAACTTATTTAAACATTTGGTGGTTTTGGTTTTTTGGTGGTGGTGGTTTGTTTTTTTTTTTCACTGGGAAGAATACTCTGAAATATCGGTGCCTTGATGATGATGAAGAACCATCTCTTGCTGTCTGGTTTTGCCATGTTCCCTGTGTTAAATGCCTGCACAAGGAATTCATCAGGAGATTATCACTTTTTTTGGGCTGGTGGCAGTGCATGATTGACCTGTCCCAGTCGTGATATCGGTACTTTGCTCAGGTTTACAACTTTGCCATTATTTACCACAAGTTGAACATGGAAATTTGCACTGCAGCAATGTTGCGGAGTTACATGCTTATGTCTGGAACATTGAGCATCTTCCATTTTGAATGGAGTCCTAGTCAAATCCAATGGTGTACAAATTCATGACCTCTAGTGATCTGGTCAATGACTTGACCTTGTGGACTGTATCAGCTTCACTTGTAGCTAGCATGGAAAACTCTCACCTGTTATTACAGCAAGGCAGAGGTGCATAATTGCTCAAAAACTTCCAGAAGAAATAAAAACCATTTCTTTCTATACCTCACAGTGTTTCCTATCAAACAGCAAGCGTGCATGCAAGCGCCTCTCCTATCTCAGCTTTAGCTCTTAAACAATACTGGAATGGTCTGCCTAGAGGACAATTGTTGCCTTATATTCAGTACCATTGGTCAAATGAGATTTCTGACCATACCACAACAAAACCAAGAACAATAAGAGGGCAAAACCATGAGTGCAAATTTGGACTCTCCTACCATGTAGTAAAGCTCTTTTGTGGCATTGAAGGCACTTTTCTTACTTAAAGTCAATTTTTGTTTAGTTTTTCTGCCAGTATATATGAAAAGAAAATGTCCGTCTCCACTCATCTCCCTTTTTCTCTTTCCATCCAGAGGGGCGGGCCTGTGCTGTTGTGTTTGACTGCAAATTCATTGAGACCTCAGCTGCTCTTCATCATAATGTCAAGGACCTGTTCGAAGGTATTGTTCGGCAAATTAGACTTCGCAAAGACAGTAAAGAAGACAATGCTAGGAGAATGGCCAACACAAAAAGAAGAGAAAGCATAGGCAAAAAGGCAAAGCGATTCCTTGGGAGAATTGTGGCAAAGAACAATAAGAAGATGGCTTTCAAAGCAAAATCAAAGTCTTGCCATGACTTATCTGTGCTTTAGAAGCTTTCATCAAGGCCAGATGTTGCACGTGGGTGATGAACAAGCATTTGACTGTTGTGAGAAGTGTATAGATGATCCTCATACTGATAACAAGAATGACTTATCAATTGAGACTCTCATTAATGCCTTAAGGTGTGCAAGCAAGTCCGGAAGTTACACTACACTGTCTACTTCATTGATAAATGGTTTAAGTTTCAATGTGTGCAAGTAAATGAACTGACTTTAAATAAGTGGCTTGACATGCCCACATTTTCACTGTGTACATATGTTATATATCCTCTTGTCCTGTGGATACCAGAGATGCAAAGATAAGAAAGGATGATGATAAGTATCACCATAGACCTGTCTTGTTTGCAGAGCAAAACTTAAACTTGTACGCAGGCTCGTACACTCTTTTTAGTATAAAACAAGTAATGATAAATCTTTTTAAACTTAAATGTGGGGAGGGGGGAGTAGAACCACATTAGAATGGGAGAAAACAGATTATATATATTATATATATATA